AATTGATGCTGACTGGATGTATCTTGACAACAGTTGACAGTATTGAGTCTTTCTGAGCATGAATGTGCTCAATCTTTCCACATGCTTACTTCTTGAGATATCCCTCAATCCAGTTGTATAATTTTCTCCATAAAGATCTTACAGATCTCTCATTACATTTTTTGTTGTTGTTGTTTTAAGTGTCCAGTCAGTTCTAATTCACAGCAACCCCATATAGGGTTTCTGAGGAACACCTGGTGGGTTTGAACTGTGGAGTCCATTCAGCACTTTATCATTTTTATTTCAGAGTCCTGGTGTGGCGCTGTGGGTTAATGAGCTGGACTGCAGAGCCATTTCAACTGCAAGGTCAGCGGTTCGCTCTCACCAGCTGCTCCTTGGAAACCCTATACAGAGTCGCTATGGGTTGAAACTGACTTGATGGCACTTAACAACAACAATTTTTATTTCTATTTGTAACAGTAACTTTTTGCATTTGAATTTTTGTGCATGATCGCAGTATAGTATCTTCCCAAGTTACAAATGTCTGACTTGTTCTTTAATTTTCTGTGAATTTGGTCTCACACTGAAGCCGTCTCTTCTTTACGATCCCCTTCACTTACTGCGCCTGCAGCCTGTACATGGTTGAAAAGCCTTCAGTGCTGCTGCTGCTGTTGTTAATGTTGTTTGGCTCATAGCACCCTGTAGGGTTTCCAAGACTTAGAAAACCTCGTGTAGGAGCAAACTGTCACATCTTTCTCTCATGGAACAGTTGGTAGGTTCGAAGCCCCAACATTTTGATTAGGGCCTCAGTAGCCAAGTTTAGCCACTGCACTAACCGTGTCTTGCACTGAAAGTAAGACTAAATGTGAACTCTGTGCCTCTGCTCTGCCTGCATATTCCACTTACAGACACGCATGGGAGCAGATTATGTTCAGGACTCGGGCTGCCTGTAGAAATCCTTTTTTTTTCTTCTTCTTCTTTACTTGGTTAAGTGCCTTTGAGTCACTTCTGACTCATAGTGACCCCTCTATAGGGTTTCCGAGGAGCGGCTGGTGAATTTGAACCACTGACCGTGCAATTCAAATTCACTTTTATCTGGAGTCCTGGTGTGGAGCTGTAGGATAAGCACTGACTGAACTGCTAAACCACAAGGTTGGTGGTTCAAACCCACCAGCCATTCCTCAGAAACCTGATGTAGAGTCATTATGAGTTGGAACCGACTCGACAGCACTTAACAACAAAATCAGTAAATTAGGTTGAGAGGACTTTCTTCTTTTTTCTGTTTTCTACAATAGCTGTGGAGTCCTATTGTGGTACTGTAGGTTAAGCACTGGAGTGCTAACCAAAAGATCAGACTTTCAAACCTACCGGCTGCTCCTTGGGAATCCTGTACAGGGTCGCTATGAGTCAAAACCAAGTCAGCAGCACTTACTGGCAACAACAGTTTGTATACGATGGAGAATCTTTAGAAGTTTTATAGACTTCACCTGTAAATTTTTAATGGGTAGATTTTTAAGTAGTATTTGAATTTCATTAATAACAAGAAATCTAGTCAGGTTTTCTATTTCATTTGGTAACTTTATTGAACTATACCTACAGCAAACTGTATGCACAGGAAAGCGTGCATTCGCATGCGCACACACACAAGTGTACAGCTCCATGAAGTTTCACAGACTGAATACATGGTGTAACCAGCTATCATATCAAGAAAGAGAACATTACCAAAGCCTCAGAAGCCCTCCTTCTTTTCCCTTTTCAGGTACTGCCCCCTCAAAGGAAACCCACAATTCTGACTTGGAACAGCACAGATTCTTTTGTTTTGTTATTTTTATTCATTACATGTAAGCAATCATGCAGAGTCCAGATATAAAGACCTCCCTCTGTGACCACTGATTTTGACAGAGATGCTAAATCCAATCCGTGGGAAAAGAAGAGTCTCTAACAAATGGTGCCTGAGCAACTGCCTTTCCAAATGTAAAAGAATAAAGTGAAGCCCGTACCTCACACCATCTACAAAATCTAACTCAAAATGTGCCAGTGACCTAAATGTAAGAATTAAAACCATAAAACGCATAGAAAAACTGTTTAAGGTAAATCTTCAAGACCTTGTTTTTGACAATGGATCTTTGTTTTTGACAACAGACTCTCACATATGACACCAAAACCATGAACAACAAAAGCTAACATAAGTTTGGACTTTGTCAAAATTAAATTTTCTTGTGCATCAAATGACTTTATTAAGAATGAAAAGACAACAATAGTGAATAATTGTTAGCAGGACTGATTATGAGGGTTGGAAATGTAAAGGTAGATGTTTTGTAGCAAAGAGGGGAGTGATTAAGTTTTCAGTCTAGGAGCAGAGGTCCCTGGGACCATCAAGGGAGAAGAGCTGAGAGCGGGACACTACCCAGAGAAGCAGTGTCACCAGAGATAGAGGCAGAGACGATGACATGGAGAGATGGAGTGGCTGGGGACTATAGACCCAGAAGGGGAGAGGGGCTGTGTGCTGATGACTGGGGGGCAGGCTTGTAGTGTATACCCTGTGGTTGGTTGATGATGCATGGAGGGGATTGTAACCATGGCAATGAAAGGATATACGATAGGATGAATGTAACGCTAATATTCTCCCATGTAAACTATCACATAATTCACAATAAAACATTTAAAGAAAACAACAAAACACATGTAAAAAAAAATGAATGGAAAGACACAGGACGGGAGAAAATATGTGGAAACTGTTTATATGATAAAGGTTTAATAGAGAATTTATAAAGAATTCCTACAATCTAAAACAGAAAGACAACTCAGTTTAAAAAACAGGCAAAAGAGCTGAGTAGACATTTGTCCAAAGAAAAAAAGCACTCATCTAGCCAACAGGCACATGCAAAGGTGCTCAGTGCCATCAGTCATTAGGGAAATGCAAATGAAGACCACAGTGAAATACCACTCTACATCTACTAGGAAGGCTAGTATACAAAATAAAATAAAAAAGGAGGTGATGAAGACAGAGAGCAGGAAGAAAAAGGAAGAAGGAAAATAACAAGTGTTGGCGAGGATGTAGACAAGTTGAAAAATTCTTCCATTGCTGTTGATGTTAAGTGCTGTCAAGTTGGTTCTGACTAACAGCCGCCCCGAATAGGGTTTCCAAGCAACAGCTGGTGGGTTTGAACTGCTGGTGGGATGTAAAATAGTGCAGTCACTGTCGAGAACAGTTTGGCAGATCGTCAAAAATTCAACATAGAACTACCATGTTGTTGTTGTTGTTGTTGTTGTGATGACTTATCCTGGCTCTGTCTAGGGTTGACAAGGCTGTACATCAGAATGCCTCATCTTTCCCCTGCGGCCCAGCTGATGGGTTCGACTAACTAACCTGGTGGTTCACAGTCCAGTGCTTATCGGATGGAGCCAGCACACTCCCTAGAACTACCATGTGGCCCAGCAATTCCAGTCCTACGTATGGGATGGAAAACAAGGAGTCGAATAAATACTTGTATACTAGTGTTCATTGTGTGTGACTCACAGTAGCAAAGTGTCCATCAACAGATAAATGGATAAACAAATTGTATATATTGAGCCATGGGATGTTATTCAGCCATAAAGAGAAATGAAACTTTGATGCATACTACAACTTGAATGAACCTTGAAAACATACTAAATGAAATAATTCAGATACAAAAGGACAAATATTTTATGATCCCACCTACATGAAATATCTAAAATAGGCAAATACGTAATGACAGAAGTGTATTAGTGGTTTCAAGGGAGTAGAGGGAAAGGAGAATAAGGGGTCGCACTGTTTACGAAATCATCAGTTTCCTTTGTGGGGGAGAAAGATGTCTAGGGATGGACGGTGGGGTCGTGCAGTGTGGGGAATCTAATGAATGTCACTGGACTGTACATTTCAAAATGTAAATCTTATATATATTTTACTGCAATAATAGTTTTTAAAGTAACCCCAAAATGTACATTTTTATATATTCTTTCTTTTGCTTAACATTATACTTGAGAGATTCATCCATATTGTAACATGTAATTGTAATGTGTTCATTCTAATCACTGTTTATGATGTTAGTAAGTGCCTTCGAGTCGGTTCTGACTGATACCAATTGTCGCTTTGTAGGGTTTCCAAGGAGCAGCTGGTGGGTTTGATATCAATGTACCATAATTGTCTGTTTGGCAGTTGATGGATATTTGGGTAGTTCTCGTCTTTGATTGTGATGATGTAGGATAAACACTGAACTGCTAACCACAAGGTTGACAGTTCAAACCCACCAGGTGTTCCTTGGAAACCCTGGACGGGGCTGCTATGAGTCAGAACCAACTCAACGGTACTTAGCAACAGTAGTCTTTGGTTACTATAAATAATAGGCTGCTGAGAACATTGTCGTTCATGTCTTTTGGTGAATAAGATGTGTGCTTTTCTGGTCGGTATATTTCCAGGAAGAACACAGCTGAATCATACACACCGATCCAGTTTTAGCAGGTGCTCAAGAACTGTTTTCAAAAATGTTTGCCAATTTGGATTTCTTCTAGAATAATTTGTTGTAAATTACATTTGTCCTGAAAATTGTTTTTTTGTTTGTTAGAGGTGATGAAGGGAACTCCAGGTCTCTGGCTGTCAGCAGAGATCTGACCTTCTCTCCATTTCCCCTTTCCTGTCACACCTTGCAGAGCCCTGAGCTTGGAGTGGACATGGGCTGGGTCAGCGGAGGCCCATTTGAACTGCTGTTAAGACCAACCCTGTATGTTCTCAGCTGCCTTGTAGAGCCACATTGCACAGATAACTAACAATCTCACTACCTTCTTTTCTCTTTTTGTGTACATATCAATGGTTGCTGATTGTGTGCTATTCATGGAAGAGTGGTTTGCTATTTTAGGATTTGAATTGCTTGCATAAAGTAATAAATATATTTTATTTCATAGTATGTAGATGTGACTGCTTTGATAAAGAAGGCTCTGTTGGGCATTCTGATGGTCCTGCCCTCTCTGTATATTATAAATATGTGTTGATCTATTTTTAGGGAGGAATGATCAATTGGAATCGCCTTTTCCCACCTTTACGTCAGCGACGAAATGTCAACTATCAGGATGGTCAGCGGTCTGAACAACAAGCATCCCCTCCTCTAGAGGTTTCTGAGGAACAGGTAATCAGTTACACTTGGTCCTTAACCTAAAACCCATGCTTTACACTTCAAGCAGTTTTGCTGAGCAGGACTAGAAAGAAACCAAGTATGTAACAGTGATAAAACTCGAGATCATGGTTGATGACTGTGGGTCTTAAGAATTTGAGGAAAGAGTGATGTAGGAAAGAAACGCATTTTGGTAGCTTATTTTGAAATCGGTAAGACCTTATCTTTATGACAAGGCTTCAAAAAGTTGGTGGAAAAATGGGATTAAGAAAATAATAGTATTTTCCACCAACTTTTTGAAGCCCCTTTGTACAAGAAGCTAATAAAATTGGTTCTCTCGAAGGACAGGGGGGAAAGGAGAAGGAAGGAGGGGATAGGAGTATGAACTTTGGTATGGTTTTGACTTTTGGATTCATGTTAATGTTTTGCTTATTCAAAAGTCAAATTAACAAGGATGGGGCAAATGTAAAACTGAAAAGAAACAGAAATAAATCAACCAACTGTATTTCATTCGCACCAAAGGGAGGAATTAATGTCAGTTAAGTTTTCAACGTCTTATATCCTCTCTCTAAAAAATAATAAAAAGAATTGCAAGCAACTCTTACACTCTTCTTAAGAGGTGTATTCTTCCTAGTGAATGAGGATAGCAGTTCTAAAATGATGTATGTGTCATAGGCTTGAACATATGAGAAATGTATTGCTCTTAATGTGGAGGGAGAGAAAAGGGGACTGGCGCTTCCCGGACCAGGCAGCTCAGGTAGGGCAGGCTCCGGGGGAAAAGGGGCGGAGTCGCACATAGGAAACCTCTGTCTAGCAGACAGACAGCCTTTGAACAAACATAAGATCTTATATTTCAACATTCTGAACTCATTTTTTTAAAAGATCAAATTGCTGAGGAATTACAGGCATTTTTTAGCTTTTGTCTGCCTGCACGCAGCTCCCACTTCCGCGCCCGTGAGTGCCTCTGCCCCCTGCAGACCTTGGAATGCAGGGCTAGAGCAACCCCACTTAGTAGGCTGCATTTCCAGAGAAAAGGAAGCATAAACTAATAAAGCCTAACAAATAGAGAGGGATATCGGTGTGGATATCAGGAAATTCGGGGTAACCATGGTACAGAGAGACTGAGAGAGGCATCTTTTACATCATCAAATACAGACACTACCTCCCTGCAGCCATTACCCCCAGACCTCTACTGCTCCAGCCTAGACCAGCCCTCTGCCAAGCCGCCTAGGCTCAGGAATGCCCAAGGCACAGGCCCGCCCACTGAGGCCAAGGCCCAGACACTCCCACTGAGGCCAAGGCCTGCCCTGAGGCCCAACCCGCCCACAGACTGGTCACAAAGGCCCAGGCCCAACCAAGGCCCTGTCA